GAACGGCGTGGCGTTCCGCGATCGGAGTGTGTGGTCGATACTACACAACAACTTCACGTACGGCCCGTACTCGTCGACCATTGCACACATGACAAGCAACTGGTTACCACCATCCGACTCTCGCCCGATCATCTACGGCATGTGCAACGAGATAAGGGGCTCTCCTGTGACGGATTACCGAGAAGGGCTCAACATTGGAGCACCCGTGACGGTGTTGGACTGTGGTGCGTGCACTGTGGACGCCGTGTGCTTTGCAGCGAGGACGAGCAGCATCAGCGGCTGTGAGTGTGTGTGTGCTGCTGGCGGCTACGGTGACACGTGTCTGCCAGCTGCGGTTCCGGACGGCCTTGGGCCGCTCCCGCTCCCCGATGGGAAGGACACGGAGGTCCGCTGCGTGCACGGTGGCAGCATCAGCTCTTTGGACGTTCCTGATCCCGGTGTGCGTGGTCTGTGCTTTGTCAACGTGACCTTCACTGCCGCGATCGTGCTGGAACTGTCACATTTTGAGGTACCGCAGCAGACACTCAACATCACACTGCTGCAGTGCGTCCTTATGGACCTGTCGATCAAGGGGAGTGGTGTGCGAGCGCACGTGAACGTGACTTCTTCGATGCTGGATTCTGGTGATTTGGAGTTTAGGGGTGATTTTGGCACTGGATCCCAGATACTGGTGGCGGGCTGTAAGCTTGTGACGACGTCGAACCATGCCATTGCCTTTCCGGAATTTTTCCTTGGTGCGAACTCAACGCTGTGGCTACTCGACAACCGCATCGCGGGGAATATGTACGCACTCTATTTTCCCAATGCTGCTGTTGTTGATGGTGGCGGGATCATTGTGAAGGGAAACACGCTGAGTACGATGGAGGTTAAAGGTATGGAATCATCTGTTTATTTTTACGCTGTTGATGTGAAGAACGACGGCTATTTTGGCGTGGATAACAATACGATGAGAGCCATTAGTGGAGTTTATCTTTTGGGGGTTACCACCGTGAGCTCCGCGGGGCTGCTGCGAGTGGCGGACTGCACCTTTGCTGGCAGCGTGGGGGGTTTTGTTTCCGCGCTGGTGTATCTTGACGGCTCTGTGACTCTTCAGGGTGGAGCGCAGTGGCGTGTGGAGGACAACAGCGTGGGTGCAGCCTCAGTATTAACTATTCCATATTCCAAGCACAAAATTCAGCTGTCAGGCAACGGCACCACCGTGGTGCTTGCACACAACCGTCAGGTGGACTCGAGGGTTTCCTTTGCCAATATTTTCCCATCGAACATTGTCGTGACGTCGTCCGCGCGGTTTGTGGTTGGGTGCAACCTTCAGGGTGATGAGGAGGTGTCGTACAACCATTATTTTCCGGAGGCAGTGGTGCTTTTCAGGTGCGGCACATGCAACGACGACGCGGCTTGCTACATGCCTGGGACAGAGTTGGTGGACCGCGGCTCGTGCTCGTGCAGCTGCAAGGACGGATGGCATGGCGCGTCGTGTCTTCCCTTCGAGGTGCCCGACGCGGTTTTGCTTCCCTTGCCGGAGAGAGCCGTCGACGGCGACACGAGTTGCGTGGTGAACCAGACGCTGACGAGCCTCACGCTGAACATGTGGAAGACACACCACTGCTACGTGGGTGTGACATTCAGCGGCGTGGATGCAGTGCTGACGTTTTTCCTCGACAGTATGCCGCTGCATCTCCCCATCAACATCACGTTCACTGGGTGCACGTTCCGTGGCGGTGCCGTGCTGCAGTTTGTTGGGGGTGCTGGTGCGGCCGAGTCATCCGGCGTCCTGATCCGCGTGAGCCAGACGGTGATGCGGTCCTCCGTCGTTATTTTTGCACTCACCCTCCCGCTGCGCTGCGACATCGCCGTCACGGAGGTTGACGCGGTGCAGTCCTCCGCGGTCCATTTGCCGGACACGGTGAGCAAGACGCTGAGCGTATTGCTGCTGGACGACGTCGTGTTGACTGCATCCTCGCTGTTGGTCAGCAACGTCAAGACGCATGCAACGAAGCGTGATGCGTTTGGTTTGTACTCGACCGGGACGCTGACGCTGGTGGGTGGCAGCTCGCTGTACGTGCGGTACTGCAGCCTTGATGGATACACACATCTGTTCCACGTAAATATCCTTAGTGTCCGCGATCACTCTGTTTTTGCGCTGCTCAACAATACAATGGCCTCCGGGAAAAGCCTTCTGTTTCAGTACCTTGGCTTTAGCGTGTCGGAACACAGCGTGTTGCGCGTGGTGAGGAACAGCGGTTCCGTCTCATACGCCATCTTTGCAGACGACTCGTGGACCGTTCAGCAGTCAAGCTGGCTGGATTGGCGTGACAACGACGTGGGATTGGGTGCGATGTTTCACGAGTCCGAATCCACTTCTTTTACCATTGACAGCAGCAGTGTGGTGACGCTGACAGGCTGCAGGATGGGCTCGACGGGGCTGTCGGGACCCCTGCTATCGCAGGCTGACGCCGGCTACAGGTTCGTTGCTGGGTGCCTGACGGTTGCGGGACGTGTGGTGACGACGGCGGAAGAACTGGAGCTGAACGGTATTATCAACGTGACGACGGTTGCCGCTTGCGGGGAGTGCACGAAGGACGGCGACTGCTTTGCTCCGCTGACGACGGCGGTCATTGACTGCAAGTGCCAGTGCGCTGCTGGAGGGCACGGCGATGTGTGTGTCCCGGCGCCTGTGCCTGCTGGCCCGCCGCCACCGCCACCGCCGCCAGTGCCGTCCACACCGCTGCCACCGCCGGTTGGTGAGTGCATCAGCGACATGGTGCACCCCGAGGTTGCGCAGGCTGTGGGCGGCGGGCTGTCGTGGCTGTGCTACCGCAACGTGACGTTCAGCGGGGGCGGCATGAGCCTGACGGTGCTGATTGGGGCGATGACGGGCGACGTGGCGAACGTTATATTCGATGGATGCACGTGGAGGGACGGTGCCGTGCTCTTGCTGTTGGGCAACGCGTACGCCGCTGTGGGGGCGCTGAACATCGTCGTCACCGGTAGCACGTTCTATGACGCGCTGCTTAGCCCGGAGGGTGTGTTTCCGCCGCACACGAACATCACGATCAGCGGTAACCGCTTCACGGTCACGAGGCTGATCCCTCGGACGGGTTTGGACCTTGACAGCCCTTCGTGTGTTGCGATGAATGGACTGGCGATCAGCAACGACTCCGCGGCGGTGCTCAGTGGCAATGTGTTTCAGAGCGTGGTGGCATCGTCAAGTGCCATTCGCGTTGTTGGATCTGCGCTGAGCGTGTCGTGGCACTCCGTGTTTGCGGTGATGGGCAACGCGTTTCATATGGATGGCGGTGACGGTACTTTGATACATCTTGAGGGGTCTAGACAGTCCTTGTCGCTGAGTGTACTGAACAACTCTGCCGTGGTGATCCGAGGCAACTTTGTGTCGAGGCCGGTGCGCCATTTCATTTTTTTTTTCTGGGCCTTAGGTGTGGAGTCCCAATCATCGGTCGTATTTCAGGGCAACGAGATGCGGGGAAGCTTGACTGTGTTTTGTTCAGATTTTGCCGCCAACATCTACTACCACTCCTGGCTGCAGTTGAGCGGCAACCTCTGCCGTGAATCCCCATTGCATGCGTTTGCACTCCTGAACCCCACGGTGAATCTCCGCGACTCCACGGTGTCTGTGTCCGGCAACCAATTCATGTCCAGCACGGGAATGTTCAAAGCATTGAGAATATTTTTAGGGACAAGCTATCTCACAAACGGAGCGATTGTGGCCGCGTGCAACACTGTGAACGGCGAGGAGGAAGCGAACTACGTTATTCCGTCCGTGTACAACGCCACCATCCTGACCTGCAGCGACCCATGCACCCTCGCGGCGTCGTGCTTCCCCGCGTACACGACGACGACCTCGAGTGATGGCTGCGCCTGCACGTGCGCTGAGGGCGGCTATGGCGATGCGTGCCTGCCCGTTGCTGTCCCCGAGCCACCGAGCACCGACGGCGCCGACTTGTGCGTGCGGGACGTGCGTGTGGAGGTGGAGGTGAACGCCGGTTTCGGGACGTCGGTGACGTGCTACGTTGGTGTGACCTTTGCGGCGGATGTCGTGGTGGACGTGGAGTCGATGTCAGGGAGCGTGCGCAACGTGACGCTGTCGAACTGCACGTTTTTGGGCAGAGCGAGCCTGTACGTTGTTGGGTGGCGTTCCGACCCGTCTGCTGGCCAGCGCGCCGATGTGTTGATCAGTGGGCTTGAGTCGCGCTCTGGCGGCGGCGTGGTGGTGGCGAACCGATTTCCGCCTGGCTCGCGCGTCACCGTGGTGGACTCGGTGCTGATTGCGGAGAGGCGTGTTGCGTACCGCGGCGCCTACGGCCTTGGCGACGCCTCCGCGTGCCTCGTGGTGCACAGCGTGAATCTGACTGGGAGTGTGCTGACCATCGCGCGCACGCAGGTGGCGGCGGTGTTTCGCGACGCTGTTGGCGTGTTGTTGGTTGGCGGCGTGGCGCTGTCGTCGCGCGGTGCGCTGTACGTGGACGGGCTGTCGGTGCAGACGGCGCTGGGGCTGTGCGTGTCGGTGGAGGGCGGTGTTTCGGCCAGTGGCGGCTCCGTGGTGGCGTTTGTTGACAACGGCTTCCTGCTGTGCAAGCACGCGGTGTCTGTGCGTGGAGCTGTGAGCGTGTCGGGCTCTGCTGTGGCGCTTGTGCGGAGCGAATTTGTGTCGACGGAGGACTACGCGGTGGCGTTTTATTCGACGGTGAGCCTGGATGACGGGTCGATGCTGCTGGCGAAGGGCAACGTGCACGACGGTGTCTCGAGGGAGATGCTCCACGCCGCTGGTGCTGTGACTGCTGCTGGGAGCACGCTGAGCTTCGTGCGCAACGGAGCGCTGCTGCCACGGATGCTGTCGCTGAGCCTGTCGCTTGCGGCTGGGGCGCATTTGAGGGTGGCGTGCAACGACGCTGGTGGCCGTGTTCTGTCGACGGCGGAGGAGTACGCAGCCGCTGGTTTTGGCGACGCTGGGAGCATCGACGTTGCTGGGTGCGACGCCTGCGACAGGGACACGCACTGCTACGCGCCCCGGACTGCGTCTGCGAGCATGAATAACGGTGTGTGCGTGTGCGCGTGCGACAGCGGCGGGTACGGCGAGGCGTGCATGCCTGTGGGAGCTCCCGCACTGCCGCCTGCCGTGGGCACTGCGTCGAGTGTGTTCGTCCGCGAGGGCGTGACGGTGCGGTCGGTGTTCGTTGTGCCCGCCGGTGCGAGCGAGGTGACGCTGCGCCACGTTGTGCTGGACGGCGTGAGTCCTGTGCTCTACGTGCCGTGGATGGCGCGGGACGGCGTGCGGATCGTTGTGCAGAACGTGTCGCTGCTGAACGGTGCCGTGCTGTACGTGATGGGCGGTGGAGGGTTGCGCGGTGCGGGGGCGGCGGGGAGCGACGAGAGCGGGCCGGTGGAGCTGTCGGTGTGCGATGTGGAGGCGCTGAACGGTGTGCTTGTGCTGACCGGCACGTTCCCCGCGGGGTCTGTGCTGACGGTG